GCAAACGATGTATTGAATGAAGGCAGCAGGGACGCATAGGCAACGATGTATTCATGAAGGCAGCAGGACCATGGCAAACGATGTATTGAATGAAGGCAGCAGTGACCATGGCAACGATGTATTGATGCAAGCGCAGCAGTGACCATGGCAACGAGTGTATTTGATGAGGCAGCAGTGACCATAGCAACGCATGTAATGCATGCAGGGCAGCAGTTGACGAGTAGCAACAGATGTATTGATGAGGGCAGCGAGTGAACGATAGGCAACGATGTATTGATGAAGGCAGCAAAGTTTTTTGACCATAGCGAACGATGTATGTATGAGGACAGCAGTGACCATCAGCAACGATGTATTGATGAGGGCAGCAAGTGACGATAGCAACGATGTATTGATGAGGGCAGCAGTGACGATTAGCGACGATGTATTGATGAGACGGCAGCAGTGACCCATAGCAACGATGTATTGATGAGCGGCAACAGTGAGCGATAGCAAACAGTGTATTGATGAGGGCAACAGGCGTAGCACTTTTGATGCACAGGCCAAGAACGATGTATTGATGAGGGCAGCAGTGACATAGCAACGATGTATTGATGAGGGGCCAGCATGACCATAGCAACGATGTATTGATGAGGGCAGCAGTGACCATAGCCAACGATGTATTTGATTGAGGCCAGCAAGTGACCATAGCAGACGATTGTATGATGAGGGGCAAGGCAAGTGGGACCCCAATAGGACGATGTATGATGAGCGGCAGCAGTGACCGATAGCAACGATGTATTGATGAGCGGGCAAGCAGTGACCAAGCACAGTGATGATGAGGAGGTGACCACGATGTATTGCATGATGCTGGCAGCAGTGACGATAGCGACGAGTGTATTGATTGAGGCAGCAGTGACCATAGGCACGATTATATTGATGAGGGCAGCAGTGACCATAGCCAACGAGCTATTTGATGAGGGCAACAGTGACGCATAGCAACGATGTAGTGATGAGGGCAGCAGTGACCATAAGCAACGATGTATTGATGCAGGGCAGCAGTGACCATAGCAACGCATGTATTGGATGAGTGGTAGCAGTGACCATAGCAACGATGTATTGAATGCAGGGCAGGCAGTGACCATAGCAAACGATGTATTTGATGCAGGGCAGCAGTGACCATAGCAACGATGTATTGATGAGGGCAGACAGTGACAGATAGCGACGATGTATTGATGAGGGCAGCAGTGCCATCAGCCAACGATGTAGTGCATGAGGGCAGCAGTGACGATAGCAACCGATGTAGTTTCGATGAGGGCCAGCAGTGACCATAGCAACGATGGTATTTGATGAGGGCAGCAGTGCACCATAGCAACGAATGTATTGATGAAGGGCAGCAGTGACGAAGCAACGATGTATTGCATGCAGGCAGCAGTGACCATAAGCGACGATGTATTGAATGCAGGCAGGCAGTGACCATGCACGATGTTATTGATGATGGGCCAGCAGTGACGATAAGCAACGCATGTATTGATGAGGCAGCAGTGACCAGTAGGCACGATGTATTGATGAGGGACACCTATGCGATAGTCGACGATGTATTCTCGAGCTATGGTCACTACTACCCTCATCAGAGCACTGCTTCATAACATACCGAGTTAATGAACATCAGTGCGTACTCTTCCAGCCCCAGTTCCTTGAAGAAGTTCCACACCTCGCGATCGTAGCCGTAAAACTGAACGCCCTGAAAGCAGAGGCAGCGCCCCCCGTGGCCGTCAATAACCAGGAGACGCCAGTATCGCGAGGTCTCCCTGAAACCTTGAAGATCCTGTGGTTCCGCTGCAACGAGACACATGCCAAGCGATCACTACCTAGCACCTGAACACATAGACCCTACTGCAAGGGAAGGCATCTCTCTACTTCTCTCCACAAGGACAGCACTCGTGGATTGTCAACAATATATTAATAAGAAGCGATGAAATTTGACGCCCCACCCCCACTTTTAATGCACAGCTCGAAGATGATGATACAGAATTAAAGGAAAAATGAATGTGTCAGGTAAGATTAATGCCGCACCAGGATCAGCCGGGTCGTCGCTGCCGTATCTATCACAGATGATCGTGGCCACAGTGACGTACGGACCGCTGAAACATGCGTTAAACTGTGAAGCTTCAACAGCCATTGACGTAATCACACAGTTAACAACACTGCATCGTGTGCCATCTCTATTAAGTAGTAACACTTTCTATTCTAGTAGCTATTATTCAAAACCTACACATGTAAACAAAAACCAGGTTACAATTTTTACGTTCACATGGAAACAAATTATGAATGATACGTCCTTTATTTCATGTGATGTAAATTTACTATTTGCTGTACACAATCGTTTCATAATAGCAGTGATATGGAAAAAAATGGCATGAACTTACTCGACTCCGCTACGAGATATCTGCACCTGCACAGTCTTTATCATCTGAGGACTGTCCCTGGCAATATAAGATGCAGGCATGAATACAGGGTAAGAAAGCACAAAACATGGGATGCCAACACACACACACACTCACACACGCACGCACAAAGACAAAATGTTCTACCAGCCATATATGCGAACGCCACTCAGCGTATATTTGCTGCCGAAGTCAAACACAACCCACGCATCTTTCAAACTTGGGATGACCCAGAAGGAGGATGGATCATCTGAAACAACAAATAAAAAGCGTCATCACTATCAGCCAGCAGCAGCAGCAGCACCACCACCACCACCACCACCAGCAGCAGCAGCAGCAGCACCACCACCACCAGCAGCAGCAGCAGCAGCACCACCACCACCACCACCACCAGCAGCAGCAGCAGCAGCAGCACCACCACCACCACCAGCAGCAGCAGCAGCAGCACCACCACCACCACCAGCAGCAGCAGTACCCAACAGCTCATACCTCTTCAAATCAATCAATGTTCACTTTAATATATTGGACATGGTACCCTTGCAAACAGCGTTGCCTAGTAACCTAATCCTATTGCAGCCTGATAGAATAACTGCGGTAGCTTACTATCGAGAAGGTTGGTGTTCGGGTTCATTTCCATGTAGTTGCCACAAAACGAACTGTCAAGTCTGGTCCAGTCCATATCGTTATCCAGTAGACAAGTAACCTCTTGTTCCTGTTCTGTAGAGAACACAGGCAAAATCTTTTCATGAATTTAGGCTTATTTTAGTCTCACTCCCTCCCATCCTCTGGAAATCTCCACATGTACACAAAAGAGCAATATCAGTATATATACGTATATACATGTATATACTGATATTGCTCTTTTGCGTACCGGAGGAGATTTCCAGAAAGCATTCAAACCCTGTTACTACAAAGACCCATTTTCAAGTGCTGCATTTATAATCTTTTTTCGTAACATGTCTGTTGCTATTTATTCATACATACATACATATATATATATATATAACAACAACAAACAACATATACATATATGGGTACAAGGAAAGCCTTGCCACCCTATCACCAAACACATGTACGTTCATATCCCTGCCAGGGTGCCGTGCCTTTGTCACGTAGTGTTGGACTCATCAGCAGCCTCTCATCCTCCTCACTGTCTGCATAGAGCGGGATCTGACGCGGCCTGTGCTCGTACTCTGTCCCAACGACAAGTAAATTCACACTGCTAGAGTACGACAACAATCAGCAGGCAGGGATGTACGGGGGTTAAGGCACACAATGGGTCCAGTTATCATCAACGAGAAGATACAAATCTATTCGGTGTGCGTACAGTATTTGCCAGCTGCACAGAACCACATGCACACACTTGTAGTCAGAAAACACCTAAAGTTGGTAACTGCTTGCTCAATACCTTCTAACAGTCTGACGAAAACATCTGCCTTCAGGGGTGGGTAGCCAGCAAGCAATGACCTTGGGGTCTATAATCAAATGAGACCAGCAATATAGAAACATGATCACTACACATCTATACTAAAATCGTTATTCAATCAATCGACTTATTTAATCTATGAAGTAATATATTACATTTATCAATAAACATAGATGTATGATGGTAATTGGCCATAAACATTTAAGACCCCTCAATGTTTTCTAAGAAGTCCCTAATTTAGAAGAAGGACTATTCACGTGCAACAGACAGATAATCTTAATTGAGACAATGACTTGATGGAGCACTCTCACAGGTTAACAAAGTAAGAAATCACCTCATTTCTTCCATTTTCAAGATCTGCATCACCCCCAAAAGCAAGCAGCAGTCTGACCGCATCATATCTGGAACAGTACACAAGGCTGTTATTTACTTACTACAACTTTACATAATTATTACTTACTACTTACAAGTGTTAACTTACTAAATATTCGTCTGTAAAACACGTCCTGACTTATCAAGGCAGGAAACACCCTCTCAAACTACAATGATACATGATACTGATCACAGGCCACATTCCTTGCATGGACCATCAATATTGTAATAATGCTTGCCTTCAGTGTGTATTACAACTTCACGTAAATTCCAGAGTTGTCCATACTAAACAACAAGATTCCAGTATAAATCTCTGGCCTGCCAGTGCATGTCTAACTTGTGCCCTACCAGACGATCTCTAGTAGCTGTAACCACAAGCTCATCGATGGTGAATAACAGCGCAGGGGTAGAAATTAACTTTTGAACAAGGGAGTCCAACGGACTGCCCTCAAAAAGAGGGAGTCCGCAGCAAAATGAGGGAGTCCGCAGTCTGAAGTTCAAAACTAAAGATATTTTAACAATAACGCATGTGCTTATTTTGAAGATACATGCGGTTGCACATCTGCCAAATTTTCTTTGGACATTTGCTGAAAAAATCCAGCAATTCCGCGAGGCCATGCTCTGGAACGAACTAGTTAGTATAGCAGAATTTTCATGGAGTCACACAGACTCCTGCACATGTCAAATCAGAGAGTCCGACAGTAAATCTGGGAGTATTTGACTCCGGACTCGCGTTAATTTCGCACCCTGACAGCGCACGTGTCGTTACCGTCACCCGTGTCACTCTCAGTGGTCAGCGAGCGCAATCGCCCCGCGCGCGACTCACCGTACGTGCCGCACCGCCTCGTGCAGCGCCCCCGTCTTACTATCGCGGACGACGAGGTTTGGATCCATGCCAAAGTTGAGCAGCAGCTCGAGGACCTGGTCGTTGCCCCTGATGGCAGCCTCGATCAACGAGCGTGGCGAGCGTGCTGCGAGGTCCTGGTGGTAGTCCAGCATCAGTGATACAGCCTCTACAGACACGTGACACATGTGCATCACACACACTTTACAGACAGCTTGCAGGCACATTACACACACACGCACACGCATGCGCGCCCGCACACACGCACGCACATACATACTACATATATATATATATATGAACAGCTGATAATACTTAGCATGTAATACTAGGTAATAATATATGCTCTTGATATATATATACATATATAGAACGGACACATTACAGACACATTTCAGACTCATTATAGATAAATTACGGACTGATCACTGACACATTACAGACACAATGTACAAACATTGCAGAATGCAAACGCATCATAACAGCATTATCTTTGGCTCATAGGGTCTATGTCCCCCAGGATACTGCCGGAACGTACCCTGGGTATGGTCCGGTATACCGGAACGTACCCTGGTAACTATCTGATATGGTTAGGATTAAGGTTAGGGTTAGGGTTAGGGAGTAGGCGTAGGCGACTCCCTAGACTCGTTAGTGGATTAGGCGAGGTATGGTCCGGCATATTAGATAGTACCAGGGTACGTTCCGGCAGTACCCTGGGGACATAGACCCTCTCAGCTTATCTTTGAGAATAAATGAATTCATGAGTACATTGTAACTACAATGAGGAGTACAATGGGTACAATCTAAGCACCCTAAGCTTGACCATTACCCAATTTACATCAACTAATTAAAATGCCTTTACCAATGCCATTGTGAACTGCAGCCAGATCCATAGGTGTTAGACCTTCCTTGTTTTTCTTATAAACATCAGCCCCAGCCTGAGAAAGACAGCAAAATTAATACAGTAAAGAGTGGGGGACACACAAACACCTAGAAGGATCAAGGAGATGAAGAAATAAAAGAATATTAAGAATCTGTGACACCTAAAGCGACAGCGGTTGTGTAAACTTTAATATTATTATCAACCACCAGGAATATATATATATTAACGAAATCATAACAAGATAGTTTTATATTCTTTGGATTATCCTACCTTAAGCAACTTGAGTATAATAAACCTATTTCCAGTCTTGCTCTGTCTGCACGCAATGTGCAGTGGCGTATCGTTGGTATCATTCGTAGCATCCACCTAATTAGCAAAATGTATAATTCGTAGTCTTGCCAGCATCAGTGCCACACAATATCTGATGTGATATCACTACTAAAAATAATATATAAGTTGTGCTTTTGATAGCCACTGATGTTAATGTGCAACATGCTACAAATGCTGTTACCGCATCACACCACGTGAAAAGTAACGTGAAACAGATATGTGCAGAAGAGTGATAGAAAAAGTACAAGCAATGAGTAAGTGCAAAGTTAGTATCCTTACATCTGCTTTGTTACAGAGTAGCAGGTCCATAATATCAGGTCTTTCATTCAAAATTGATAGATGCAGAGCTGTATTCCTGCCCCATGCAAAAATAATAGTTCCATGCACATGAGTGATAATATGCATGCTAATAATTAAATGGGTTCAATCCTAGGATTAAAATGCACTATGATAACCCTGCCCTATTGTTGAAGTGATTTAGATAATGCATATATTCATTATCTAATTAGAATTAGAGTCAGTTACGGTTATGGGATGTGCATTAGCTAAGGTTAGTGGTATTTCGAATAAGGACAGCGACCTAAAAGAAGCACCTAAACTAGAATTAAACCGTGCCTTAGTTACAACTCATTGAAACAGCATGTGCATTCAAGCTGGGTTTAAAGTATGAAAAAGTCAACAAGTTGATAAAATGTTCAACGTTCTATCAACCTTTTTATCGAATGTTCAAAGTTTTTACGTTATCCATCGCGAGTCGGCAAACGTTTCAAAATTTGACCTGCAGTGTGCATGCAGTGTGACGTGGATACACATTTGTGCACATAATAATTTGCACCAGTGTGGCCCCGATAGTAAAAACGCGCTCTCCGCCACGGAACACCCCCCCCTGATTGCTATTAGCGGAGTGGCTAAGTGGCAAAAACATGATCAACTCGCTGACCAAAAGTTGAGAATATAGAACATTATAATACATGTTCTAATCTCTCTTGAAACCAGTTGAGCGCTAAAATTTTACGTTTACACTGCCGAATTTCTGCCAATTAGTTGAAAGGTTTATCAGCTCGTCAACTCTTCAACAAAAAGTTGATAGTGTAAACCCAGCTTTATAAAGACAAAGCATGCATACCAATTACATCATGCATAACGAGTGCTTTAGAGAGATAATGACTACAATACTATAAGGAGTCTATCAATATTGATAGACTCCTGATACTATCACAATACTAGTGCAATAGTATCATAATATGCTTCTGTGAAAGTTAATACCGCTTCACTGCTAAGATGTGCTATTCACACACTATGTGCTTACAGCCACTTACCCCATGTAGTCTTTAGCTGAGACTGAACCAGAGCATGTAATAATTGAATAAACTAGCGGCTTATTACCTACAACAAACAGTTTAGTATGTTATACATGTTTCAGGTCGATACAACTGCATAATGACAGATGAAGAAAATTGCATGACAATTTTAGCTTAAGTTTTTATTTAAAACAACTACAGAATTTTCGAAAATTTCAGTCACTGAACCACCCCAACACCATCTACCTGCCGTGTTGATTATTGTGCATGTTCTCCAACAACTTAACCTTACACTATTCTAGAAACAGACAACTAATGAGAAGTCAAATGCACACAGTACCATGGTGACACCACAGGAACACAGCTTACACAGGTGACACATACAGGAAGTTAAATGTCCATTTCTTATGAAAGTTTGTAGATCTGGAGTTAACAGGTGAAAACAGCATTGGGGTACAGTGGTTTATTGGCTATCTGGGTCTTCACTACCTAGTTTAGTTGCAAGCAGAATTGGTGTTACACCAGTGTCCACCTCCTGTATGTTGATATCCATGTGCTTGAGGCGATAAAAATATGGAACGTGATAGAAATCATAGATTGGCAATGGATCCTCATTCTTACAAATTGTGAGCTGACGAACTTCTTCAGGCATCAGCAACGTCTAAAAATAAACAAACATGCTAATTATATAATTATTTACTAATACTAATAGATGACACTAATTTACGAGAAACATCTCGACATCTTTCAGCCTTTATATATTGTTCCTACTAGTAATAGTACTACTTCCAATACCATTTTTCTCAATAACTCAATCCACTCTTACCTGCTACCCTAAGCTTATAGACTGCAACATAGAGTACATGTATCAAAGTTAAAGTTTATACAGTTGCTGCTAATTATAATTGTATATAATGGTGTATAATGTCTAGAACACCTTGTCTGTGACATCAAGCCCAGGACGGTAAGGTAGAGGCTGATAATAAGTACGTAACTTACTAATATGCACATGCATGCAAAATTTTAATCTGGAGCTAAATGCAGATTCTAAATATTCTTTGCCAAAATCAATGAATGTAAAGGCCTTTTTAAACGGCATCCATTTTTGGAAGTTTTGACAGTGGATTTTCCATTTGGAACCAAGATTTCTTGCCACCGTTGTCACTTGCTATAGCTTTCACTTTTTTAATCGACGATTGAAAAAAATTGAAAAACGATTGAATCATCATGGTTGGCCCCACGCATGATCTGTTCCAATTGTAGTTCAATTTTCAATTTTCGTTACCAGTACTTTTTGGTCTACTTTACAAAACATTTTCAATTTAAGTTACGAGAGATATAGTATATCTATATTGGGATATACCGTATATCATATACTTAGATATACCCCAGTCCCCAGTGTCAGTGATGGCATTGACAGTACTTACTAACAATATTTGATATAATGTAGAACCTATATATTTTTGCGCAGTGGATATTTAACCGTATATGGCAGAGCATCCGCTTCTGCTATTTTACCATACAGTAATTCTGATTGGCTAGTATATTTATGTATGTTAGTATATTATGAATGTGTTCAAAAGGTTTTGGTATTGGAAACGTGATTCACGGAAAATAGCTTCTATGACCAAACGGGGCTACAAATGTGTAGAAATAAATGGGATTTGAACATAAAAGTTAACTAGATAGCTAAACCTTATGGGATTCGAACGTAATCACGGTAATGTTGATGACGTCCTAAATATACTAGCCAATCAAATGTGGTGTACCGTAAAATAGCGGAAGTGGATACTCTGCTGTATACGGTTAAATATCCACTGCCATGTTTTTGCGGCACATGCTGTCTAGCGAATGTCTGCTTTGGTAAAGCTAGTTACTTACTAGCTCTATATTATAGTACTATAGCCTGCGTACAGTTGCTGCAGGCGACGCAGGCCGCATGCGCCGCAGGTCTGCGGCAACTGTACGCGGGCTATAGTACTACTACTAGAGCTAGTTACTCACTAGATACAATAATGTAACCCAAACACAGGATAGGGTTAGGGTTTAGGTTACATTATTGTATCTAGTTACTCACATACCCTGACTTTGCTGACATTTCCTGCTCTGATACTTTCGAAGAAAGTATCATAAGTTTCCGATTCAGTGTTTGAATAAACCGGCACTTTAATCATTGTGCTTTGCGATCCTCGTCTTGGCGTCTTTCACTGTTTGGGAAACAAATTTATAACAAACTGACTTAGCTCTAGTAACTATAGCCCGCGTACGGTTGCGCTGGCACCATGCCAGCGGCACCCGTACGCGGGCTATAGTTACTAGAGCTCATAGGGTCTATGTCCCCCAGGGTACTGCCGGAACGTACCCTGGGTACGGTCTGGTATACCGGAACGTACCCTGGTCACTATTTGATATGGTTAGGGTTAGGATTAGGGTTAGGGTTAGGGTTAGGGTTAGTGTTAGGGTTAGGGTTCGGGTTAGGAAGTAGGCGTAGGCGACTCCCTAGACTCGTTAGTGGAGTAGGCGAGGTACGGTCCGGCATATTAGATAGTACCAGGGTACGTTCCGGTATACCGGACCGTACCCGGGGTACGTTCCGGCAGTACCCCGGGGGACATAGACCCTCTCAGCGTTACTAATACTAGAGCGAAAACTGACTAGTAGTAGTATTAGTACTAGTACTAGTAGTAGTAATACTAATAGTAATAGTAGTATATGTTATAATAATTAATATATTACTAGATTTACGCCGATTCTCAATGTGCGCACACTCTCAGAGATGCTGTACTTTACCACGGCTAGGTCGAACAAGACGAAGAGATCAGAGTCTAAGCAAGCATTGAGACATTGGACTTAAATAAAGGTTGTAAACTTGACCAAATATACCTAACAAAATACCGAATGTAGAATGTTTGTTTGTTTATATAGAACAGCGCCATCTCTCGGATACTTATATTATATTTAAAGCTTCCATTGGACCCTACCATTGATACCTGTTGGTAACCTCACATTGGTAAGTCACAACCTCATAAATAATAGTCTTTATAAATACAAAGGACTATAACAAAGACGGAGAAACGCGTTAATCAAATCGACAGATCAACCGTGCGGATTGCAGTAGAAAAAGCAGCAAATTTGCAATTTACTATAGACGAAGCGAAAGAATTCCAATACGGAATGACAGAAACAAAGAAGCCAAGATCCTTAAAAGATTTTTTTTTTTTTTTAATTATGCCACATGGCACATAAAATGGCACAAAAACACGTGAAATTGTGAGAAACTGCAATTCTTACCTGTGTTTTAATACATGTATTATTACTATAGTAACCTATCTGTGTACGCTCTCTGAAAAGTCATGAAAAGTGTTTTGAATCCTAACTTGTAGAGTTGAGTCTAGGGTTGAGATAGTGTCATCAGACATGAAAATATGGCCCACAGTATGCCTCAGATTGCAGGAAAATGGCTTAAATATTTCAAAATTTTCTGGGGGGTATGCCCCCATCCATACCTAGCACTGGCATGCCTACGGCACGCGGACCTGCCTGCGGCAGCCAAGGTTAATTTCGCCCCCGGCTATCGCCGATCATCCCCCCACTCCTCGGTACGGATTTACGCCCCTGGTAGTGCGACAGCCTATGCGTATCTCTGCTATGCTATCTATCTTATCTATCGTATCTATCTATTACTATCTATCTCTATCTATCTATGCTATCTATCTATACTATCTGATCTATCGTCTATTCTATCTATCTATCTTATCTATCTATCTATCTTATCTTATCTATCTATCTATTACTATCTATCTATCTATCTATTTATCTATCTATCTATCGTATCTATCTATTAGCTATCTATCTATCCTATCTATCTATCTATGCTATACTATCTATGCTATCTTATGCTATCTCCATCTATCTATCTATCTATCTATCTATTCTATCTATCTAATCTATGCTATCTATGCTATCTATCTATCTATCTATCTATCTATCTATCTATCTATCTACTGATCTATTTATACTATCCTAATCTTATGCGTATCTATCTTCGACAGAACTCCGGGCCATGTTTAGCGGTGGCCCGCAAACGCGGCCAAACGGAGGAGGATCATAAAAACAGATGCGCCCGCGGAAGGCGTGGCCGCGGGACTCTTCCAGTCAGGTGGAAAATCCACCAATCCCTACAGACGCACACATCAAATAAGCTAAAAAAAAGTGGCGTGTGCGCTGAAGCTTATGATTGATTGTCAGGGGACTTACGCGTACTAGGAATGTAGAATAATTTGGAAGCAGTGCCGTATCTATGGTGAGAATAACGCCGCGGATGTGCAACGTTTGTTGAAACACGGAACACGGGAGAATAATACGGGAATATAAACGACGTATGCATTATTATCGTTTCGTTCTCTGACCAGGGCACGGGCCTAGGTATGAGTAATTGTGTGGTCCGCGCATCCACCGATGATGGCCCTGGATAAGGATCCTACAGCCACACAGACGCACACATAGCACATCAACGCACAGCAATGCACGCACTGCCCCACATAAACCGCATCAGCACAAGCACCGTCACACACAGCCAGGCGACGGCATGGCATGCCGCATGTGCACGCAGCAGCACGCAGCGCGCAGTACAGACCGGCGGCACACACAGCCACACCGCCTCCCCAATTCAATCAACTTACGCCAATTCAGCGGTTCCT